CTAGAACAGAACTAGAACAGAACTAGAACAGAACTAGAACAGAACTAGAACAGAACTAGAACAGAACTAGAACAGAACTAGAACAGAACTAGAACAGAACTAGAACAGAACTAGAACAGAACTAGAACTGGACAGGAACATAAGTAGAACAGAACTAGAACAGAACTAGAACAGAACTAGAACAGAACTAGAACAGAACTAGAACAGAACTAGAACAGAACTAGAACAGAACTAGAACAGAACTAGAACAGAACTAGAACAGAACTAGAACAGAACTAGAACAGAACTAGAACAGAACTAGAACAGACAGGAACATAAGTAGAACAGAACTAGAACAGAACTAGAACAGAACTAGAACAGAACTAGAACAGAACTAGAACAGAACTAGAACAGAACTAGAACAGAACTAGAACTGGACAGGAACATAAGTAGAACAGAACTAGAACAGAACTAGAACAGAACTAGAACAGAACTAGAACAGAACTAGAACGACTAGAACAGAACTAGAACAGAACTAGAACAGAACTAGAACAGAACTAGAACAGAACTAGAACAGAACTAGAACAGAACTAGAACAGCACTAGAACAGCACTAGAACAGCACTAGAACAGCACTAGAAACAGCACTAGAACAGAACTAGAACAGAACTAGAACAGAACTAGAACAGAACTAGAACAGAACTAGAACAGAACTAGAACAGAACTAGAACAGAACTAGAACAGAACTAGAACAGAACTAGAACAGAACTAGAACAGAACTAGAACAGAACTTGGAACAGAACTAGAACAGAACTAGAACAGAACTAGAACAGAACTGGAACAGAACTAGAACAGAACTATCACAGAACTAGAACAGAACTAGAACAGAACTAGAACAGAACTAGAACAGAACTAGAAACTAGAAACTAGACAGAACTAGAACAGAACTAGAACAGAACTAGAACAGAACTAGAACAGAACTAGAACAGAACTAGAACAGAACTAGAACAGAACTAGAACAGAACTAGACTAGAAACTAGAACAGAACTAGAACAGAACTAGAACAGAACTAGAACAGAACTAGAAACTAGAACAGAACTAGAACAGAACTAGAACAGAACTAGAACAGAACTAGAACAGAACTAGAACAGAACTAGAACAGAACTAGAACAGAACTAGAACAGAACTAGAACAGAACTAGAACAGAACTAGAACAGAACTAGAACAGAACTAGAACAGAACTAGAACAGAACTAGAACTGGACAGGAACATAAGTAGAACAGAACTAGAATGAAGTTTAAACTTTGACTTCCAGTATCATATGGTGCTACGAACCCTTTAAAATTTTTCAACTTCCGTTTAAATTAGTTAAATTTTTTTTGAGGTTTTGTTGTAACTACAACGAACCATTTCACATGTATTTACAAAAAATTTTGCATTTCTTTTTATATAAATAGCAATTAGCGTAATTGATTCTATAGGCTAAAATAGTGGTTTCTATAGACCCCCCACTAAATAACTAAATAGACCAAAACCACTATATGTATGTATATGAATGTAAAGTAAAAAAAAAAAAAACATTGAAAGGTTTGTAAACTTTTCATTTTTACAGCCATAACACATTTTACAGCGAATTTTGCCAAGGTAATAAATGAAATATAAAGCTGTAGTTTGAAAAAAAAGCAAAAATACGAAAATGTCAATGAAAAATAATGAACCATAAACCATTCATTCATACATACTGCAGCCGACAGGATTTTTGTTCACATAAAAAATGTAACATATGTTAAAGGTGTCACGTTCCATTTGCTTTATGATGCGTGAGTCCTGTTCTGCCATGTATAAGCAAATATAGATCAGATATTTTTATAGGGTTTTTCAATGAATATATAAATACTGAAGAGGGAGTCTGATAACTCCCACAAAAAAAAAAAAAAACACACACTTTCTGTTTTAATTGTTGAAATAATTAAATTATGTTGGAAAAATATAAAAATAAAAAACAATTCATCATTTATTTTTTGGAATAACACACAAACTTTCATACTCTGCTTGAAAATAAACATTTAAAACCAAAAAAAAAAATAACCAACAATTTAAACATTCTGTTCGAAATTATATTTAAAAAAAAAAAACAAGAAAAATCAACAGAAATCCTTGGTTTTGTTTGATTAATGGTTTTTTTCTTTCGTTGTTATTGCAAATTTTTCAATAAAAAATAAAAATTAATAATAAACAAAACACAGAGCATATACCGATGGCAGAGCAGAGGAAAAGGAAATGTTGGCGACAAGCATTTAAAAAAACTGTCAACTAGGACAAGACAGTTACATTAACCTTAAACGGGTTCAAGAGAATTAAATGGTCCTTCGAACCATATTTATATTTTCTAAAAATATTTTATTCAAAATGCTCCTTAACATTTCCTTTTCATTCTCTGCTTTAATTGAATCCTATTTTAATAATTAACTAAATAATAAATGAAAACTTAAGTAAATTATGCAGCGGTTGGTGTGTGACCTAGAATTTTGTTTTTATCTAAATGGTTGCTAAATAACATTTATCTCAAAATATAATTTATTGATAAATTTACTAGAAAATAGCATTCAATAAGTTAGAGTAGAAAACGTATACCTAAAGTTTAAAGTATAATTTAAGGCTCAACTCTAAAAAGCTTTATGTTATAACAAACTTTTTAAAACTTCAAATACATTTAAATGTATAATTTTGTTTCATTATTACAAATTTCTATGTTTTCTTTAAGAAATTACCTCAAGAAAAGCTTAAAGCTTTCATTCTCAAAAGCTTCAAATTGCCAAAAAACTCATCAAATATATTAAACAAAATCTGTTTTTAACTTTGTTCTTGTTTTTTCATAATATTTCTTAAAAAACAAAATTTCTATAATTTATTTAAGAATTAAAAAAAGCTTAAAGCTTTCTCTCTCAAAAGCTTTAAGTTACCACATAACACTGCAAATGTATTGTCATTCATAAATTTCTTAAAAAAAATTTATTTGTATCCTTAGTTAAGACAGAAACGCTCAATTTTTAAGATTTTCCAAAAAAGCTCAAAGCTTTAAAGCTAAATGTTGAAATTTTTTATAAAAAATACGATTTTTTTTTAATATCACAAAATTTTGTTTAAGAAAACTCCAAAACTTGTACAATTTTTAAGGATTTTCGAAAAAGAGCTTAAAGCTCTTTTAACAAAATAAGCTTCGAAAGCTTTAAATGTAGCTTTTAAAGCTATTATTTATATTTATAAATGAAAAAATAAATTTTTTTGAAAAAAAGCTTAAAGCTCTTTTTATTTATTTAAGCTTTTGGTAAAAGCGTAAAGCTCTCTTCTTAGAAAAAGTGCAAGTTTTTACCAGTAAAACGTTTAATTTTACTCTAGTAAGTAGATTAACCCCAAAACTTGTACGATTTTTAAGGATTTACAAAAAAGAGCTTAAAGCTCTTTTAACAAAATAAGCTTTAAAAGCTTCAAATGTTGCTTTTAAAGCTATTGTTTATATTTTTAAATGAAACAATTCAATTTTTTTGGAAAAACTCTTAAGTTTTTTTTTTATTTATTTAAGCTTTTGGTAAATCACAAAGCTCTCTTCTTAGTAAAACTAAAAGTTTTTACTAGCAATATGTTTAATTTTTAACTAATAAGTAAATGAATCCAAAACTTGTACCATTATTAAGGATTTTCAAAAAAAGAGCTTAAAGCACATTTAACAAAATAAGCTTCGAAAGCTCAAAATGTAGCTTTAAATGCTATTATTTATATTTTTAAATGAAAAATAAAATTTTTTGAAAAAAAGCTTAAAACTCATTTTATTTATTTAAGCTTTTGGTAAAAGCATAAAGCTCTCTTCTTAGAAAAACTGCAAGTTTTTACCAGTAAAAAGTTTAATTTTACTCTAGTATGTAGATTAAGCCCAAAACTTGTACGATTTTTAAGGATTTTCAAAAAAGAGCTTTAAGCTATTTTAACAAGAAATGCTTTAATATTTAAATGCAGCTTTTTAAAGATTACTATTTATATTTTACTCTTATAAGTAGATGAACTCAAAACTTGTACGATTTTTAAGAATTTTCAAAAAAGAGCTTTAAGCTCTTTTAATAAAAAAAAATGCTTTAAAAGCTTTAATTCTTACTTTTCAAAGCTAATTTTTGATATTTTTCCATGAAAAATTCGATTTTTAGAAAAAGAGCATAAAGCTTTTTTTATTAATAATAAAAAGATTTTATATAAAAAGTGGTTTTTACACAATTTTTTCAAAATTCTTACATTTAAAAATAAGTTTTAAGCTAAAATTTAAGCTTTTAACAAAAGTTCTAGGAAGCAGCTGAAATTTTGGAAATTTATATTTTTTTGAAATTTTTTTCATATCGTGAATAGGCTTTCAATGAAAAACCCTTTTTAAAAAAGGCTTAAAGCTTTTTTTATAAAAATTCAAAGCTTTTGTGAAAAATATGTTTTTTTTTTGCAAATCAAAAAGCTTTGGCTTTTTATGTACATTTTTTTACATTTTTCAATAAATAATATTATTTATAATTATTATTTATTTTTCAATAAATAATAATTATGTTTTTATTCATAATTTTCTTAAAAAGAGCTTAAAGCTTTTTTATAAAATTCGAGAGCTTTCACCTAAAAGCATGTTTTTTGTTAAAATTTGCTTTATATTTAGTTCACTGACTAAAAATTTTTCTAGTTACAATAAAAGCTTTTGGTCAAAAGTTAAGCTTTTAAAAAGCTTTTAAATCTTATGATTAGAATACCCTTAAAAGTTGGTGTTTTGGAGCTTTTTTTAAAGATACTGCTTTATGCTTTTTTGTGTGGTAGCTTGCTGCAACAAGAAAACATTTAAAAAAGCTTTTAGTTGTGAAGAGCTTTCCTTTAGAAAACCAGTTTTAGCCCTAAATTATACTTTTTTTTCTATGGAAAAACTAGCAAAATACTTAAATTTCTTAAAAGTTTTGAAATCTGTTTTAGCTTTTGTAAATTGAAACATTTGCTACTCACCGAATCTAGAGTTGTATCAATATTGCCATTTGGACGATCCGCTAATGTGGTCTCTTTCAGATTAATCTTCACATGATTGGCAGCCGAGGTGGTAGCACCACCCCGTTGGGGTTTTGTGGCATCCAGCAGAACCTTCAGCGAGGCGATGGCATGTAATTGTGTTGCCTTTTCGTCCACCTTGCCTGGAACATCATCTTTGTCATTGTCATTGTTGTGTTGTATGTGATTTTTTTTTTAATTTTTAAATTTTTAGTTTCAGTGTTTTTTTTTTTTCATTTTTAATTTGAGGAATTTTAAAAATTTATTGGAAATTGCAGAAATTATTTAAAGATTTTTTTAGAGAAAAAGAGTTAAACATTTTTTTAAGAAAAAAATTGCACAGTGAAATAAAATTTTATTCAAGTGAGTTGTTTTATTTTGAGTTGGATTTGATTTTGGAAAACGGAAAATCCAAGTTGGTTTTATTTTTGATTTTTTCGGAATTATTCATATGTTTTTATTTTTTTGGAAAATTATAAAAATAGAAGAAGAAAAAAAGAAAACAAGAATTTTTAATCGATTAAAAAAATCGAATTAAATAATTTGAAATTAATTTGTTGTAACGTTTAGGTTTAATTTTTTTAAATTTTTTGGTTAAATTAAGAAATTTAAATAATAAATAAAAAATTTTAGAGTTAATTTTTAGAAAAATATATATTTTTTGTAATTTAGGGGAAAAATTAAAATAATTTTTGTGTTTCTATATAGTATAAAGAGCAGGCATGGAAAATTCTATACTTTAGTACATTCTTCAGTACTTTTTGATATCGAAAAATTTTGTCTATATTCTAGTCTTTAGTTTAAACTATAGTCTAGTCCATAGTCCAGTGCATTGTCAAGCCTATAGTCTATAGTTTAAAGTATAGTATATAGTCTAGTCTATAGTCTAGTCTATTGTCTAGTCTATAGTCTAGTCTATAGTCTAGTCTATAGTCTAGTCTACAGTCTAGTCTAGCCTATAGTCTAGTCTATAGTCTAGTCTATAGTCTAGTCTATAGTCTAGTCTATAGTCTAGTCTATAGTCTAGTATATAGTCTAGTCTATAGTCTAGTCTATAGTCTAGTCTATAGTCTAGTCTATAGTCTAGTCTATAGTCTAGTCTATAGTCTAGTCTATAGTCTAGTCTATAGTCTAGTCTATAGTCTAGTCTATAGTCTAGTCTTTAGTCTAGTCTATAGCCTAGTCTTAGTCTAGTCTATAGTCTAGTCTATAGTCTAGTCTATAGTCTAGTCTATAGTCTAGTCTATAGTCTAGTCTATAGTCTAGTCTATAGTCTAGTCTAGTCTAGTCTAGTCTAGTCTATAGTCTAGTCTATAGTCTAGTCTATAGTCTAGTCTATAGTCTAGTCTATAGTCTAGTCTATAGTCTAGTCTATAGTCTAGTCTATAGTCTAGTCTATAGTCTAGTCTATAGTCTAGTCTATAGTCTAGTCTATAGTCTAGTCTATAGTCTAGTCTATAGTCTAGTCTATAGTCTAGTCTATAGTCTAGTCTATAGTCTATAGTCTAGGTCTATCGTCTAGCTATAGTCTAGTCTATAGTCTAGTCTATAGTCTAGTCTATAGTCTAGTCTAAGTCTAGTCTATAGTCTAGTCTATAGTCTAGTCTTATAGTCTAGTCTATAGTCTAGTCTATAGTCTAGTCTATAGTCTAGTCTATAGTCTAGTCTCTAGTCTAGTCTATAGTCTAGTCTATAGTCTGTCTATAGTCTAGTCTATAGTCTAGTCTATAGTCTAGTCTATAGTCTAGTCTATAGTCTAGTCTATAGTCTAGTCTATAGTCTAGTCTATAGTCTAGTCTATAGTCTAGTCTATAGTCTAGTCTATAGTCTAGTCTATAGTCTAGTCTATAGTCTAGTCTATAGTCTAGTCTATAGTCTAGTCTATAGTCTGTCTATAGTCTAGTCTATAGTCTAGTCTATAGTCTAGTCTATAGTCTAGTCTATAGTCTAGTCTATAGTCTAGTCTATAGTCTAGTCTATAGTCTAGTCTATAGTCTAGTCTATAGTCTAGTCTATAGTCTAGTCTATAGTCTAGTCTATAGTCTAGTCTATAGTCTAGTCTATAGTCTAATCTAGTCTAGTCTATAGTCTAGTCTATAGTCTAGTCTATAGTCTAGTCTATAGTCTAGTCTATAGTCTAGTCTATAGTCTAGTCTATAGTCTACTCTATAGTCTAGTTTATAGTCTAGTCTATAGTCTATTCTATAGTCTAGTCTATAGTGTAGTCTATAGTCTAGTCTATAATCTAGTTTAGAGTTTTGTCTATAGTCTGATCTATAATCTATTTGATGGTCTAGCAGATAGTCTTTTCGATAGTTTAGTATATACTCTGGTATAACGTATAAAAAGTTCTCGCTTTGTGATAAGTTAGTACTATTTCAAAATTTCAATTTTCCATGCCTGATATAGAGAGCTAATCAGTTATGGAGATAGTTTTTTTTCATATAAATATTAAAAATTTAATTAAAGTTTAAAAAGAGAAAAAATTAACACACTACTTAAGAGAGTACGAGAGTAATTATGGAAAAAAGAAACTACTCTAAAAAACACAGCCAAAGCTGAGGTAGAGAGAGCAAGACAGAGAGTAAGAGTTGATTTTAATAGGGAATAGTTAAGTTTAAAGTTTAAAAAAGTAGGGAGAGAGAGAGAGAGAGAGCACTTTTAAACCAGGCTTAACTATAAACAAACAGCCAGTTAAGGGAGGCAGTTAAATAAACTAGGTTAAAGTTTAAGGGAGTAAAGCTTTAAGGTAAGTTAACGGTTATTAAAGTTAAAGTTAGTTTAGGGAGAGAGTAACAGGTAGAGGAGGTTTATACTAGGGGTTTTTTTAAGGTTAAGCTAAGTATAGAGTTTCATATAAGGAAGTTTTAGTTAGAGTAAGAGTTTTCGATTAAACAAAACCAATTTAAAACTTAAAAGTAAGAAAAATTTTAAACAAAAAAAGGTATTTAGTTGATTTTATTTTTATAAATTTCTCTTGGTAGCAAAATTCGTCTTTTTTTAATGGCAAATTGTTCAAAAAATATCTAAAAAAATAATAAAAAATACAGTTTTTTCACTACAATTCAATTCCACTACATATATTTACCACGCCACGGCCAAAAACTTTTGATTTCTTTGGAATGTTTCAAATAGAATTTTTTGATATTTCTTGGTGGTGGTGGGGAGGGAAGTATTTTTTCTTTTATTTAGAATAAAAATGTTATGTTTGAGCTGCTTGTTAGATATTATAATTAGTGGTCTACTGTAAAGCTTTTGTTTTTTTATTGTTTTAAATTTGAAAAAATGTATAATAATTGCCAAAAAAATTGAACAGCTTTAGGCATATGCAGGGGTCAGAGGTAGTGGTATAGGTGGTGGTGGTGTTGGTTTTGTTTGAAGGATGTTTAACACACTTGAGACGGAAGCTTAGGGGGAAGAGAAGAAACTAAAGGAAAATAGTGTTTACCATAAGATTCTTCTAAGGTAATTATATCAATTTACAGTGTTCAAAACTAAACTAGTAAAAGCTTTAGCTGGTGTTCTTTTTTCACTACTACATCATTTTGTAAACCCTTATAAAAAGCTTTATCTTTGTACAGGTGAGTTGTAGTTAAAGGGGCGGGAAATAAAGGATTTTTTTATATAAAAGGATTTATTTAAGGAATCTATCTAATTTTTCCTATAAACTTTTAAAAAAGCTTTATATTTCTTTTAATAATTATATTACATATAATACAAGTTAATTTTTCTTTTAAAAAACATTTAATAAAAAGCTTTTTTCTTTATATTTAAAAGCATTAACAATATGTAAACAGTTTTATAAAGCAAATTTTGTTTAAATATTAAACAACAACATGCCAATTAAACTTTTAATTAACAACATTTAAAACTACTTTAAAACAAGTAACATTATCACACAAAATAACTAATAAATATTCTACTTAAAGCTAAAAAAAGCTTTTACTCATAAAAATACTTAAACCTATTCAATACTTACATAACTATAACTAACTTATTTCTAAGACAAAAGCTTTTCTTAATACTTATATTATTTGAAGAATTAAAGCTTTTTCTTATTTGGAATAAAAGCTTTAAAAAAGCTTTTAGAGAAATTCTTCTTAATTTAAATTAATATAGTTAAAAATACGCTAACATGAATATTTTCTCAATAATTTTCTATATGTTTACCTTTTTAGGGCAATTTTTTACAAAAGCTTTTAAAAGCTTTTTTATAAAATGTTTGAATTCTTCAAAAAAATACTACAATTTATGTGTTTTCAATATTTCTCTTCATTTTCTGCTTTTTTACAACAATATTTTATAAAAGCTTTCAAAAGCTTTTTTCCAAAATGTCTTTATTCTTTAAAAAAAGCTATAATTTATTTATTCTCAATATTTTTCTTAATATAAAAGTTACTAAAGTAAATCTTTCTTTATTTGCTGCAAAGTTTAGTGAAAGCTTTTGAAAGCTATTTTTCGAAAACATTAAAATAAATGTGAAAAACTTTTTCAAAAATGTCGAAACTTGATTTATAATGTTCAAGTAGGAAATTGGCTTATTTTTTTTAAATTTAGCAAAAGCTTTTTTGGAAAAAGGTTTTAAAAAGCTTTAAATACATTTCATTAAGAAGATAATGATATGAAATTTGGCTTATTTGGGAGAAACCTAAGCAAAAGCTTTAGAAAGCTTTTGCAGAAAATTAGAAAGTTTTTATAGAAAAGGTGAAAAATTTCGCCAAAAATTAGTTTAAATACATTGAAAAGATAATAATATAATATTTTCTTTATTTGGTGGACAATTTAATAAAAGCTTAAAAAAGCTCTTTATGAAAATTTTATAGTTTTATTAAAAAACATCACAAAAAATACTGAATAACATATTTAATATGTTACAAACCTAAATTGTCTACAATAAGTGAAAAAATTAAGAAAAGCTTTTAAAAGCTTTTTAAAAAATTTTAAATTTTTTGGCAAAACTTGCAGAAAATATAAAAATGTCTTATTTTTTTACTTATTGCAAGTTTTAATAAAAGCTTTTTCTTAAAACTTTCAATATATGTGGGAAACTTCACTGATATTGCCATAAGTCTTATTTAAATCATAAACATGGGAATTGTAATTAATTTAGAGCAAAAAATAAAAAAAGCTTTTAAAAGCTTTCTTAAAAAATTTTCAGAATGCCACGAAAAATTTAA